AGTTTTTCAAAGTTAAGGCTAAGTGTGTATTAAATCGATAATTATCTTCTTCGGAATGACCGCCTCCCATAAAGCGATATGCTTAAAATAGTCAACTTCAGAATAATATTACAAGAAAACTATACGGTCAATATTGCTCAAATTGTGGGATTATTTGTATACAGTTATTTATCTACATCATAAAAAAACTAACAAGCGAACCTTCTTAAGTAAAACTCCAGAGTCTCTTAGGCCGGAATCAGACTACTATTTGAAGATTTAGATTGAAGATTGAAAAATTCAAATTTGACCAATCGAAACGAAAGGAGCTAAAATTTCTTTGTCCTTATTGGTCAAATTTCAATCTTCAATCTTCAACATCAATCTTCAATGCGTAATCTGATTCCGGCCTTAGGCCTGTTTCACAGTCAGGCTTCCTTATGGTTAAGGCTTCCTTAAATCCTTCCTTAAATCCTTATGTTTAAGGCTTCCTTAAATTTATCTTCAGATGCTCTACGAATTATTTCATTGGCTACTGAGCATCTAAAGATAAATTTAAGGAAGCCTTAAGTATAAGGTCTCACTATGAGTATTAGGCCCAGTTCCACAACTCATGGTTAACTCTTAACCGAGGTTCAACTTATTCATTGTCTCTTACTAATTTTAGAATTGGAAAGAGATGAGAAACAAGTTGAATCTCGGTTAAGAGTTAACCGTGAGTCGTGAAACTGGGCCTTAGCATTGGAAGCCATGGTGCAGTGCACCCTCACTCTTAATACGGCCCTAGATTGGTACACAATACATACACAAACACAACATGAGAGAGAACACGTGAACGCCATCTACTTCATGTGCAGGGTACACGTTAACAAAGCAATAATAATATGAATTTAATGAAAATGTAAAAACGCGTTGAATGTATACTCGCATAAATGAGGACCTCCGCATGTTGGACTGATTTGTTGCAGCGTTGTATTTTAAGTGTTCTGACAACACAATCAATTCCCATACGTGCCGGAACGAGTTAACCTGCATAGAAATATGTTCTCGCCAAGAGACTCGGGTAAATCAGATTACATTAGTTTGAATATTCACGAAAGCGGTTCATTTGCACGGAGCACTTCTCGCAGTTTATGGAGGGTACGTATATTTTTGTCGAAAAATAACGCGAACGTATTGTTATTTTGAGTCTGTACGACTTGGATTGCCGTACAGTTATCTTTTTTATTCAGCTACTTGTCTCTCTTTCAGCAATGGAACCAATTGTCCAGGTTCCAAAGAAATATTCTGTACTTTGCAATAATTACAGTTCTACTTGTAATATTTTATCTCCTGCCTAGCGAAACCAAAGCTGGTACCTCTAACAATGAGGTAGATTATAGTAATGTAGAAGTTGTACAAGAAACTGCCAAGTACGAGAAGGTACGAAGTGTCTCGAAGAAAGCTCTTGAATCCGTATATGAAAATATCAAATTCTCTTTTATTTCACAGGCAGTAGATGAAGTCGTTGTAGATAATGAAGAACAGGCTGCTGGACCTGGTGAAGTAATTGAAGAACCTGAGTTTCAACCAGAAATTAATCAAGTTGATGATGATCAAATTGGTGAACCACCACAGCCAAGACCAAACATCCTGAAATTTAGTGGTAGATCATGATTTGTGAAATGATATGACATAATTAGATTAGATTGCAAAATAGACATAGATAACAACGTTTGGACTTTTAGGTCCTCAAAATAGTAAGCAAGAAGCTGTCGTAGCTGCTTTCAAGCATTCTTGGAATGGATATAAAAGATATGCATGGGGTCACGATAACGTCAAACCGATATCAAAGAGATATCACGAATGGTTTAGTTTAGGCCTTACTATAGTTGATTCATTAGATACTATATATATAATGGGATTATATGATGGTGTGTATGTAAATTAAACCTTAAAATTATTGATATTCATTATTAGCGAAAAAGAAACATGAAAGAGTTTTCTTACATAATGTTTTAGAATATTCGAGAGCAAGGAAGTGGGTGGAAGAGAATTTAGTGTTTACAATGAATAGAGATGTTAATTTATTTGAAGTTACTATTAGGGTATTAGGTGGTTTACTATCAGCATATCATCTCTCTGGTGATATACTCTTTATAAATAAGGCTGTAAGTATTGGGCCAAATAACTTCAGTTTCTCAATTAAAATCCTATAGAATTCAAATATAAATATTAATTTATCAATTTATCCATGATGCCCAAGATGGATTTAGGTGATCGCATGATGCCAGCATTTTCTACCAGATCAGGTGTTCCATATTCTGATGTGAATCTTGGTACTAGAAGTGCACATAGTCCTAAATGGGGTCCTGACAGTAGCACGAGTGAAGTTACTTCCATTCAATTAGAGTTTCGCGATCTTAGTCGTAGTACAGGTCAACTTAAGTTTGAGGTAATTTTAAAAGCGAGACTTTTGAGGCAATTTGCAACGGATATTTAATATTTGATCTTTCCAGAGTGCAGCGGCAAGAGTTTCCGAACATGTACATAAATTAGAAAAGTATGATGGTTTAGTCCCAATTTTTATTAACGCTAATACCGGACAATTTCGGGAATACGCTACGATTACATTAGGTGCTCGAGGTGATAGTTACTATGAATACTTATTAAAACAGTGGTTACAAACTGGAAAAACCGTAGACTAGTTAGTATATTTCATTATTAAAGTTATAATCGTAAAAGTCTTTGACTTATAACACTTAAGGCCTGTGTTGTTGATATTTTTAGCCTTCGCGACGATTACTTGAATGGCATTGCCGGAACGCAAAAGCATCTCGTTAAACGTACTGCGGTCAATAAATATCTATTCATCGCTGAATTAGTCGGCGCGAATAAAGAAATTAAACCGAAAATGGTAAATAGCTTAAATACAAAGTAATCGAGAGCGGCCCCTAGACATTTAGTATTATTGTGCATTTTATTTTGTACAATATTATTAATGCCCCTTTAAATAATTCAAAACACAGTTTAGAGGTTCAATATAGAATCCAAACGATTAATAATATTGTATAATAATATTGAATATCTAAGGGCCATTTAAAACTAGAATATTGCACAAATTTAAAAATGTGCAAATATATTGTAGGATCATCTCACATGCTACTTAGGAGGCACTTTAGCGTTAGGTGTGCATCATGGATTGCCGTCGGAACATAATACTCTTGCGGAAGAACTTGTTAGAACTTGTTATCACACATATGCAATCCAACCAACGTTCCTCGCACCTGAGATTACTTATTTTAATATACAAGTAAGTTCGAAAAACATTCTTAATAAAAGATAGGACAAAACATTGATTCTGCAGTAACAGCAGAGAAAAAAAAGGATTCATAATCGTTTTGTGGTTTTGTAGAAAATGGAAGATGAAAATCAAATGGATATGTACGTAAAAACGAATGATGCTCATAATTTATTGAGGCCCGAATTTGTCGAGAGTCTATTTTACATGTGGTATTTTACGGGGAATAAAACTTATCAAGATTGGGGCTGGCAGATATTTCAGGTGAGTGTGTTATTTACCTCCTGGAATTTTATTATATTTATCTAATGTAAAACGCGTCTCGACAGGCTTTCGAGAATTATACCAAAGTCGAAGGTGGCTACACGAGCATCGGTAACGTCCGGAATATTCAAAACACCCGTCAGCAGGATATGACGGAAAGTTTCTGGTTCGCTGAAACTTTAAAATATTTGTATTTGTTATTCGACGACACTAGGCAATTGATAGATTTGAATAGGTGGGTATTTAATTCTGAGGGTCATCCATTACCTATATACGAATCGTAACGCAATAGAAGCAAAATTACGCTAGCGAGTTCTCAAGTTTTTGCACTTATTTTATAGAATTATTTTTTAAATGTCCATTTATCCGTCATAATGTTTTTAATGAAACTTTCCGAACACTTCCTTCATTAATTGTGGGACTCTCTTCTAGAAAAAAATCACTTATAGAATAAAACAGTACAGTCAATTCTGCTATTCTAAGGTCACGTAAAATTCCTCCTTAGTTTTTATTCTATTTATCTGATATATGCACGAAATGGAAATGTTTTTTTTCTCATTTCCTCACTTTATAGATTGCCGTGCAATTATGTAACAATTATGAATAATAAAATTAGAACGAAAAAAGTTAGTTTAGTTTAGAAGAAAAATAAAACGATGGAAATTATTTTTCCATCGTTTTCGATTCTGAAGATTATAAGTAATTGCAGATTAACTTGCTTTATCATTGACAAAATACGATTTCAAGTAATAAACAAATATGCAACATTAGCTGCGCCTATCAAAGTATCGAACCTGCCTATAATGTCGAATAATAGGTACTATTAATATTTTAGATTTTCAATTACCACACTTTTGAGAATATGTAACTTGATTTTTTAGTATAAAAAGATTTTCAGCACTTATTGTACTTACCTGTTTTTTGAAATTTTACTTTTGAGAACTTCAGTTGTCTAGAACGTCATTTTTAGGAGATATGGTATCCATAACATATTAAAAAAATGAATATTATTATTTAGTTTTACCTTCACACACATTAAATTCATACGTTGTAACATTACAAAACTAATCTAGTCCTCATCTATGAATAAATTTGAATAAATTACACAGTATACTTGCAGTCTCCGATTATTATATCAAAATATAAATACTTATATGATATTTATATTTATATAAATATTTATATGAAATATTTGGGAAATGTCTGCAATTCCTGTATCATTGGAATGGCGCGATAGTGATTAAATCGATAGTGATTAAATTCATATAATCATGATATTGTAAAACATAAAAAACACTGATTTAAAAATATTTAATCATCTGCAAGCTATGTTTTTAATAATTTTATCCGTGTATAATAATCTTTTGAGAAAACATAACATATTGTTATATATTATCAGGTAATATATAGTTAGATTAAATAAATATAAAGACAGAGAGAAAGATTGTAAAACAAAATTCGATTTAATCAACTGCGTTCTAGAAATATTATCTACTATTTTTAGCTACTCTATACATTAAAAGAAAACAAGAACTTCTCAGGTTACTCTTCGTTTGTAATAAATGCATCCTTATATCAATGTCGGAAATTTGATATTATTTATGTTACTTTCGTTTCCAAATAGATCTACCTTTCCTACATCATTACAGATCCGTTTTCTTAGCTCGTAAATTTACAAAATTGCAAACAAATATAAATGTCTAAACGACTGTCACAATTAATACTGTGCGCATCATTGACATTAACATTAATGTCAGAGTTAGGAAGACATGTAATGGTATAGCAAATAACTTGCTTATAACATATTTCAAGGAAATGCTTACGGACTAATAATTGACTTGCGATTGTCTTTCGATACAGTTTTTAACCACGTTATGGCAGTGAATATTTGCATAAATTACAAGTACAACTTTCTCTGCATACAGAGAAATATATTCCAAAAATATAAATTAATTAGTTACCCATGTGTTTGTTATTAATCGTCTTTAATCGTATTGTCACTGCTCGATTAAATAACGGCAGTATCAAAAATTATATGTATATAATTATGAATATCACACATTCATTCGTACATATTCACAAAATTTTCTACACGCCATATCCCATAGAATTTTTTTCTATTATATACTTCTCATGAGTATCACAAAGTATTCTAGTGGCGCGCCATACTTATTGCAATGTCAATTCCTAAATTTTTCGTCGAAGAGCGGCATCTTGAAACCCCAAAATTGATCAGAGTACTCGCAAGGCGCTGTTTCTTCGGCATTATCTAGCTAGAAGCGTTGAACGATCTCAAACTATCGTACAGTCGCAACACTGTTGTGTATAATAAATGCAATTGATCAGACAGTCATCGTTTGGCTCGTCAGAAGATTTCTTTGTCTTCATCTCGATACCGTTCTTCTCGACTTTCGGTTGCAATTCCGGCATGGGTAATGTCGTCTGCACGATTGACACTGCTTCCTCTATCGCATCGGCATCGGTGTTCGTGGTCGGTGAAATTACGGATTTTGTTGGTTGTGATATTATGGGAGTTATATTAATCTTCTCCAATCTTGCGTTGTCCAGCACATCGAAACTCGTTGTGGATATCGATGCCTGCGCTGGAGACGATTGGTCGTCAGAGGACATTATCACACTGAAACAAACGGGATTTATTTTTAATACAGTCTAATTCATTTTGCTAAGGACTAGAAAGAAATACTCAAATTGAGAACATTAATTAAAGATTAATTCATTTTTTGAAGTTCTACAAAAGCGAATCAGATCACTATTTGTACATTAAAGAAAGACTGGTAAAAAGCTACCAAATGTATTTTATTCGCCACATTAGTGTCACATTTGATAAATATTACCAAACATAGTAAAAGTAATCAATCATAATAATAGTAAAAATTAATTTTAGTTACATTAACCGAACATTTGAATGAAATTATTTCAAAGGTTTAGTAGCTATCATTTAGGCTTGATTATTATTACCAGACTTTTTTCAATATACTGAAGTTTTTTAATTATTAGAAATATATCTGTGTATAAGAAATATATACATATACATTCGATTATTAAGAATTTATATATATATATATAGATATAAAATATAATTTAATATGTTAGGTTTTTAGAGAACATGTTTCATTTGAATAAGCTTATGTACATGCTCTGGGCTACAGTTAGATAAATGATAGATAAAGAAGAATATCTCTTCGAAATATTACGGGAATACGGGAATTCGGGAAGAGATTACACTTTCGGGATTCTCGGGAAGAAAGAACCTACCACCTAGTCTTCTTGCAAGGGTGCGTTCGAGTCCTTTCCTCCGCGGTTAGGGTGGAATAAAATGACACTTGCTTCATATTTCGCAAGTCCAACTTTCGTCACGTGAAATGTCTGTAATTTTACCGCAGCACTTTATATTTGAAACACTATACTCCTGTCACACTCCTACACAGTCGGCATGATGTAACTTTTATCTAGACCATATAATCTAATCACCTTTCGCATTCTCACTGGTTTTCTAAACATACAAAGCAACTGCAGGAGGAATCGGCTTCTCCTTGTGGAACATCCTGGGCTATTAAATGTATGCTCATGAGTCGATGTTCTAAATATATGCTTGTTGATATGCGCGATTTTGTGTAAACAATCATAGAAATCTTCTGTCATAAAAGACTTATTACGATTACGTATATAATCTGTGTCGCATCTGGTACATCGCTCGCGCCGATTACGTCCCAATTGATCAAGTCTCGAGCACGTGGAGTGCGTTAGCGGACTGAATACCGTCGACATTCTGTCAGCTAATAAAAGCTAATGAACGTTAACTAGATCTATGCGTATCGTATTGTCGATCAAAATTTAATTAATGACTGAACATAATTAACTGCTCTCGAATGTTTACCTCAAATTCATCTTTTTCTTTTTTCCGAAAAAAAATTATAAAATAAAACCTAAAGCCACTTTAAAATATTTTAGCCTCGTTTTAAAATAATTATTACAGACTCCGTTCAGAACAATATGCTTTCTTTTTCTTATATTTCTTTTATCATTAATTTCATATAAAAGATATCTTATATATTTAGAACTTACAACTCATTTGAATCACCTTTTCTATAAAAATACACAAGTTTTAGCTATTTATTACAATTAATTACTACACGGAGAGAATTATCTTTTAAAATTTATCCTGAAAATATAGTAGTTGTGGTAGAATACAATATTTTAAAGATTTTTACTATGCACTTCAATAAAATTAATCAAATTTATTTTATACTTTATTGTAGTTTTATTAATGAATGAAAGAGATTTACATTGAAATTCCTCGAAATACAATGTTGTCCCACGACTATCATATTTTCAGGGTAAACTCTAAGAAAAAATTTTCTCCATATAAGAAAGTCAATAAATCGCCAGAAAACTTATGATTTTTTTTAAATGTATACATATGACTGGACAGGGAAATCGTCCTTTGATTTAAGAAAGGATAGGAAAATCCCATGTGACGTTGTCAAACGATAAGTTTTAGCTATACAATATTAGGGATTCTAGGCCTACCCTCCCCATCAATTGTATTCGCCTAGGTCAACTTAGAGAGAAAACTACAGCTGTGCTACGAAGCAGCTGAAATATTTCGTATCAATACAAAAGCTATTTCGTAGTCAATGCGTAACCTTCGTTTCTTCGTGCGTAGATGACAATAGAATTACGATCACGCGCCAGGTTTTTCTACATTGATTGATGGAGCATAAGAACGCGATTTTTTTCGTACACAATTTTTTTTTGAATTGCAGTTATATTCATGAAATAATTAAACAATATTACATAAAAAGACAAAAATAATGATGAAAATTATGAAAATGCTCGAATAAATATAGCACAATTATTTTAATGTCTCAGTGTATTGAGATATGTTAAAGTGATAAATAAAACGTTTTCATGCTGCAGAATTTTTAATTATCTATTTTTACATAATTATTTGAAAAATCGAAGTTCAATATCAAACAACGATAATATAATTAATAGTGAACAATGATGATAATATAATTTCATAAAAATTTCTAATACGATCTTTCGCGTTCTTTTATTACGTTCTACGTTTTATTAATACATGAATTTGCTCTTAGAAAAAGTCTGCGAGCACAAAGTCAAGGTGAGACTCAGTAGTGTGTGACGTGCATACAATTACAGCTCCACTGACAAAAATCGCGTGAATTAAATTAAAAAACCGGTAATTAAGTTCCAACGTAGAATGGAATTTTCGACGAACAAAATGCGAAAATGTACTAACTACAATGCTTTTGGAATACATGTAATCGTATACATCAAATAGATACATTATACTATGCATACAACATATTCGTGATGAAATACAAACAGCTGTAACAGTAATCAAGTCCATAACACAATAATACAAAAGTCCAATTTTCTGTTATTTTTAACAATGGGCTCCGAGTTTGTCAGACTAACTTCGATTAACTCAGACTAATTTCGCTTACATGAAAAGGTTTTGTTGAATAGTATCTAAAAATTTAACTCGATCTAATTTTATTCGATCATCGAAGTAATTATATACGTAGGACATTCAAACTGATTGCTAAAATGTCAAAACTTTTTGCAGCATCATTCATTATTATTATTATGCTTGAGATTCCTATGTAACTTTTTTGATAAGCTAATAAAATTTTGATAAGCTAATAAAATTATTTTCGAATCTAGCGAATTTTTTAGATTTAGCAAAATCGTTCTTTCTGAAAAAATAAAATCAAGGAAAAGAACCTGATTTTTTCCGAAAAATATAGAAAAATTAAAAAAAAAAGTTATTCCGAGACTGAAATTGAAAATAGTCAGCAAATAATATATTTTTACTTAATTTTTAATGTCGTTCATACTATAAGTGCAAGTTCTGTCATAAAAACTTTTGTGATAATAAGGTACAAAACTTCGCGATAACGTACAGAATACATATTCTTTCTATTTTTAAACAAAAGAGTATTTTTTATACATCTTTATTATGCTTGAACTAATAATTCCGTTACTTAATAAATTTCCCTTTCCTATCCTATAACATAGACACACTTGTTAACACATCTTTCAGAATACACATACACAAAACAAGCATTTTCTGTTTAATAAAGTAAAAGCTCAGACATAGTGAACAAAATAAGGGAAGTGGAATTAAAGATAAGGAGTTAAGAAAAAGCCAGAGTAGGAAAAATCCTCCGCCTCTGGTTTTATGCCTAATAATATTAACTCCTCGATTAACTCCTTATGTTCAATTTTGTATTTCTTATTTTATTCAATATGTCTAGCATTACTCGTCACTTAATTGGCTTGTTTTTTTATTAACATTTAACAGAAAGAAATTAATTCATAAATTAACAGAAATCTCATAAATGATCACGATAACGAATTTTATTGTTGAATTACTTATTAGAACACTTACATGTGAAAGAAATCTTAAAAGTTTTAAAATCATTGACAAATAAGGACAATAATGTTGAAATTGTTAAAAGAAAAAAAATCGGAAAAATATAGCAATGAAAAGAACCGAAAATAAAAATTATTTTTTCTTCCAAAGTTTCCGAGAATTTTCCTGGGCTAAGAATGTTATTCTGCATTGAAAAAAATTGTTTATTTGACTAAATTAATTTAGTTGTCTTTATCTTTTTCGTTGGAGAATATATGTATGTATATAAGCCTATCTACAATATGTCTGATTTAATTAAATACATAATTCTTCGAAAGAAATAAAGACGAGCTAAATTAATCTAATCAAATGAACAATTTTTTTCAGTGCGTGTATAATTGCATCACACTTATTTTCTAGCTTGCAATTTATTTTCTAATGATTAGAATATTAATGATAAAAATTAGTCGACTTGGAAGATAATTAATTAAATTAATATGAAATGAATGATGATAAATTAATGACGGCATGATTCCATACGTGCTCCAAATGTATAATGTCACAGGTGACCATTTTTCCATTTAGTATGCATGTAAAATATTTTTAATAATTGTTATATCACTCGTCCACATGGAAACGACCGAAACCGAGAGCATTAGATTGCACGTAACCGAAAATTTGAATCAAAACGCTGACTCTGAGAAACGCATACCGGTACTGCAAAACGAGTGCTGCAACCGTGCACCGTCAACGGTCGTCGTGAAACTGTTCGACCTGAACCCTGAGAACGTTATCCCACCCTTGGCTGAGCTTTACACGTGTTATACGGCAGTGCCGTATATAGAGGTTGCACACATACGACATAAAATACCAAAAACGATCGAATTTCAGAAAAAAATTAATCAACTGAGTTTAAAATTAATTAATTAACGTTGTACGAAATTTAGTTACTAACTACCAAAATTAAAGATTAATTAAAAAATATTTCTGATTATTTTGCATTTTGCATCTGGCATTAATTAAAAAAGTAACACATTTTGCATTTAAGCAGTATTCGGGCATAATTTTTATATTTGTAGAAAAAGAAACAAGTAATTAAGTGCTAAATGCAACAAAAAAGATTAAAATTATTATTTTATAGAAAAAAGAAAAAATAGGATAAAGTATAAAAAATTGTAAGTCATTCGTTACATTTGAAGATTAGAAATTCTTGCTATTTTAATTAAGAATAGACTTATAGTAAAAATTATAATTAGAAAAGGGAATTCTAGTAAATTCTAATAAACTTGGAAAAGTGACTCTCATCAATTTATTTTTATATTTATTATAATTGTTACATAACATTTTGTGAAGTTATATTCGGTGAATGTGTGCGTGCACGAAAAAATGGTCATTGGAGAGAAAGTAGGCGACCCCGAAGTAGATTCCTTTTAATAGAGTTTTGAAATCACTGAATCCGATCATCAGATCACATTTACGATTCCTCTCATGGAGTATTTACAAATACCAACCTTTGTACGGTATTGATCGAAGCACGGAATTCAAAGAAAATTGTCACACTATTCTGTCGGCCTAATTAATCCTTGTTCAAAGTCATTAATCTTATCGTCTATTCATTTGCTAAATTATTTTAATTTTTTACATAATAAATAATAATAATGACATTTTCAATCTTTATTTTTGACATAATTTATTTAACGTGCGAACAAATAATACAATATATCTAGATTTTTAATTATTGCAAATAATTAACAAAAACAAAAATGAAAAGGCTGCTGTGGACCAAGACATTTAATTAATTAAATTTAATTAACTAGATGTCTTATAGCCTTTTTATAGTTGTGTTAATTTATTTCCACACACAGTAATTAAATATTTAAATCAACTAAATTTAATTACACTATAATTAATTAATTTAGTCAATTAATTTAAAAACATTTAGTGTAAGTTTTAGTTCTAACAATTAGCCAATAATTCAAATTTTGTGACTGTAAATAAAAAACATTACAAACATTATCATCAATAAAACAGAGAATAAACGTAGGATTTCTTAGAATAATAAATTGTGAATAGACGACACGATTAGGGGAGTAGACTTTGTAGATGGTACCAAGTTTTTACTCGCCGGCGCCAGTGCGAGCCGGTCGTTTCTGCGAGCTACCGAAAGAATTCAACCATGTCCAACCGGGAGAGAACACGTGATAGGATTACAGGATGAGCAAAGGGCAGCTTAACCTACAACTACAATCCATTCACACCGAAAAAAAACTTTTTTCCCTCTCGACTTACTTACTCGTAGCTTCCTTGCTGCCACAACGGATTTTTAAAGCGCATCGTTCCGCTGGCACCGTTGGCGGTAACACGAGTATTGTTAAAGAGCTTCACTCTTGCCGTTGGTACGGTCGCGATCGCCGCGATCGATGACGGATACGATCGTAACTGCACAGCCACAAAGGCATCTCGAACGATTTCGTCGTCATGCTCACGCAGGAGATGCGTGTGCACGCACGTATAATACGCGCGCGCACGCTATGCAGGACAAGGGACGCGTGGAGCGTGGAGCTCGGTGGAGCTGCCGCGTGAATTGAAAATCATCGAGACATCGATGTGGAAAAACATACGAAAACGGTTCTCCGGAGCGCCGATTCGTGACAATGGAAACGCGACGAATGACGTTAGGCTGACATTTGCTCCAAATTTTCCACATCGCGGAAGATCGAAGTCACCGAAATAATAATAATAGCAGGGTCCTGTTATTTCTTGCAGTTTTCACAGTTTTCTGGAGCTCGACGAAAGAACTCCGGATTGCGAAACGCGAGAACGACCGTCGTAACGAATAGAGTTAAATAAAAAAAAAAAAATCAGACTTACGCAAAGAGGTTAGCCTCATTCTTTTTCTTTTTCTTCGAGTGCATCCAGTTGCGAACGTGATGTTTCTTGCTGTTAGTCTCTTTTTTATGTTTGCGCGATTTACCGTGGCCGAACATATTTCGACGGGTATGGACTAATCAAAAATCGTTACGAGCACCGTGGTCTTATCATATCACACTGCGCGTTCAACAAATATGCGTGTCTTTAATTTCACGCCTTCTTAACGCACGTCGAGTATTTAGCCCCGTCATCGCACGATGCATTACTTAATCTTCCGCGATCTCACTCCCGCGAAAAATCCACGTGGAAACTGCACGGAAAAAATTCGTGCGATACCGACAATAAGCAACTATCAACTAAAAACAGAGAAAGATTCAGCTTTGTGTGTCACGGTACGAGTAACTGTACAGGCATGCAATGAATATGTGAATGTGCGTATATATCGTAATGCATGACGCAGACGGTGAAGGATACGGGAGAGGATTGAGCGATGATGTCTGCGTGGATTTAACACGTTGATTGTACAGCTTGTGTGTTAATTAACTTCGCGAAAGTCTAACGAAAGAGATCGCACGTGCTAACGGTATGGTAAATAAATTAAGATAATTTCGAAGAAATGTATCATCACTGGTCTTTAATTGACTTCTTGTTGACGATGCGTAGAACGGAGAAATACAATTGCCTATTATTATACACAGTTATTACACCGTATCTCTAATAGCATTCAAACCGTTAATGATGAGTAGTGTACATCTAATTGTTCGTATTTGCACTATCATGTATCTCAATCCGGTGCATGAAAACATTCAATCAATTTTGTTACGTTTCATTCAGTTGTTTGTTTCCGAATCAGAGCAATTTTATTAACGTGAACAATATGGAAAGAGAACGATTTTGTCAAAATATCTAAAATTTACCACATCTGAAAATAATTTTATTAGATCACCAAAATTATGTAGAACGCCCAAGCTGGTTGCTTGAATGTCAAAACTTTTTGCAGTACTTCTCATTACGTTTGAACGTCCTATACATAATTATTTTGACGGTCCAACAAAATTATTTTCAGATCTAGATTAAATTTTTAAATACTGCAGCAAAATAATTCTTTCCGTGCATATATATTTTATGAAACATTTCGAAAGGAAATTAAATGAAGTATTTTTCAATATGGCTCACCAGTGTAGATTATTCGCTATGTAGATTACGCAGTACCACGATGTAGATTGTCGGTTCAACAGAGCATATTTTAACATAAATCGAGCAAAGGGCACTCGGTGAGTATTTCTGTTCTTTGAATAATACGAAAATCGGAATAAACCTCGCAACTTTATGTAGAATAAATGCATTTCCAAATGAGTATTTATAAAAATATGACATTCTGATTAGGTTCTTGTGCCTTTGCAGTTTAGCAAAAAGATTGGCATGTATAATTATAGTCACGATCAAGGCGAACTGGTCGCTTTAAATAGAATCATTGGATCAAATCTGTTTTGCAACAGTTTACTCCTGCTAGAATTTGATCTTTTCGCGTAAACATCTCTTGATGCAACGAATTGTCAAATATTTGACGCTGATTGCGTTAAACGCGATAAACTGCGATTTACGAGTCACGCAATTAAAAGCGCGCGATAAAAGTGGATTCGAGTAGGCCGAATAAAAATATGCGTACTTAAAAGCAAACTTACTCAAAGAGGCTTTTTTTCTCGACTTTCCAAATAGATTTCTCGTTTTTCATTTCCATGGTTTTTTGTTTACGATAATCATACGACTTCTGATACTTTTCCGAAAACATTGTATTTTTTTAACGGCTAAAGCAATAAATTAATCGCGACGCACTAAAGTTTCGTTTGCAACTGTTTGCAACAGATAATCCTCTCTTTAAATACGCGCTTTATTGGTGTATAACGAGCATTTAACCCTGGCATGATACAAAACCTTCCGTGATCTTAATTGATTGAAAATTGCGTGGGAATTACGTGGAAATCACAATCGAGCAGATGGCGAGAACAGCAGATTCACGTACCGTAACATATCAAATACACTGCATATGCTTATTTACAAACCGTTGCAATTTTATTAGTCAGATTCTTCGATTACATCCGATTCTCTGGCACGTTTCGCGCCGGGATTTCTCCGTTTCCTTTCCTCACGCTGCCGAATATCAAATAAAGTGTTTGCGCTTCGTCGAAAGGTACCTCACGCTCCTTTCTCGGTTCACGTCTGCGTCTCCTTTTTGAGACGCGCATGTAAACGTGGTCGATATGAAACCGGTTCTCAAGCAAGCGAGAGAAGCGTGCGAGGATAAAAAAATTGGAACTCCTGTGCCAACGTCTCCCAAAGAATATATTCCGTACAAATTATAATAGCCGCTATTTGTTAGCGTTCACGTTCGCGTGCAGAAATTCCCGGCTTTCTGCGTGGCGAATCACCATTGCCACATTTAGATACGCGATTCTGACAACTCCGTTTAAGCCTGCTATTTCAACGTGCGCTAAACTAATTTCTTGCGTCATTTTGGCACGTGTGTGAGAGGATCCATTTGCGCTGTGCAAGCATTAGTTTCTCGGAAAATTCGCGCATTTCGTCGCCGAGTTAGCACGTGTCGAGTTACGCGAGTGTCCAGGAGACACATAACACTACCCCGGCACTCAAAGCTACCCGCCGAGGACGAGATATCGGTATACAAAAGGAAGGACGGGATATTTAATGTTAAGGTGTGTACCGCGACGTTGCACATCACGTTGCACGGTGCCGGCTCATGTGCGAATCGTATGTACCACGAATGTCAAACAGACCGTGACAGAAAACTTTTGTATGTGCATTGCGTCCATTAGACCTTTGGAACCGAAGTAAAGTTTCGCAGACGCTTGCTAAAAAATTATAAATTCTCTTCCGCTCATATTTACAAAAGGAACAATCTAGTATTCTAGTCAATGAAAAGTCACATTTTTATCGAATTTTTATTTCAACTTTCATTTCGAATCATTCCGCACGCAGTTCTTATATTGTTTTCTTTTCGTTTATTATTTCAATCAGCGAGTATTTATCTAAGAAGAAACGAGAGAAGAGCAAGGTTTAATGGTTTAATCAGTGATACGTTTCAAATCGTCTTTGCCTTATCCTTTCACTTTGAAATGTAACGTACGAAATAAAAGAAGGAACGTTGAACAATTAATATAATTTTCTATGCACCTTTAATTAATTAGGCGGTCCATTCTTGTTTTTACCCATGTCTTTCGCCGGTCAGTGACCGTTTTTCCTTGGCAAATGACAGCACAGGGTAATGATGAGCGATACGTACGTCGGGAAGTTCGACGTAACCTCGACGTAACGAACGCGTAACATCACGCACGTTTGTCGCGTACGCACGCATCTGTCTATCCGCGGACGCACACACGCACGCACACACGTCACACACTCACCTGAGCTCATGCTCGGACGTGCTCGGCGTTTCCTGCGTGTAAACATCCGCGTAGACGATTATTGTCGTCGGGTCTCCTTCTGCTCCCATCCTCCCGCCTGTCATATCGCCGGAACGAAATGATTACACCGCGCCGGCGTCTTGCACTTTATGCCGTCACGTGGTCGACGCGGTTCCCTCTTGTTTCAAGCCGATCGTCCCACGCTGTCGGCTGGAATTTGTCGCCGCACGGCCCACACGCGGTAAGCCCCAATGTTCCTCGCTGACAAAGAAAGAAATCACATGTAACCGCAGACGATACGTAACGTCATCTTCGTCAAGGTGATTAATTGTGCGGAAAATTTCGAGATCTCGGAAGAAATACAATCAAATCTTCACGATATCGGTGATGTCGATGCTTCGAGACTGCATTGCAATTACGTAATAATATTAATCGACAAATTGCTGCATGAGCGAAGAAACAGGCTTATAACGCGCGCGACTGAATTCTGACTGCACTCTACGTATTGACGATCTACAAACAACTGATGACCTTTGTTTATTTGTGCCTCGCGCTTCGTGACCACCCTGTGACCCCACAGGAATCCTTCCTTCAGATATCCTAGATATACATCTATAAATAATATCCTTTTCTTGTGATTCCTTTCTTCGTTTGTTACTGTTTACTGATTAGTTAAAAGATTTTCCTGGAATCGTCGGTGAAACATATCCTAATTATTCCAACAGGCACGCATTTTTGGACCGTAATTTCATAATTTCACATTGAAAGATCGTTCCAATATTAAATCAATTGATTACATTCTTCTAATATAATGCAATCTAGGAAAAGATCGAGAGAATCGGTTATACTTCAATTAACTTTATACGAATTTATAGACATACAGACATACGTGATAATATTCTTAAGTAATATTTATTTGCGAAAAGCAACACGAAATTAAATGTATGATTTCAATTTGGTTTCACTTGAACAATTCTTCTCAGCACAAGATAATTATATATTTGTCACTATCTGCAGTAGCACCGAACAGTAAACCGATCGAGATTAAAAGTCTGCGAGTGTCAACTATCTAACACAAACAATTTGTTTTCGTCGCACTTGCACGCATCATGCGTCACGTTTGGAGATCGGAGAGGGTCTGTCGCTGCCCCTTCTAGTGCCTTCTACAGACTTCTTCTAGGGTCCTTTGTTGTTTGCCGCCTATCGAGAGCCGTCCGGTCATCTGTGAATGGGTCGAAAAGCCACAATTTCCAAGAGTCACGATACGAAAGAGCGGATAGAGAATCATATCCTTTAGAAGGATCTCTCTGGAAAAGATTCATTATTTTCTAAAATTTCGCTAATATAAATTCAGTGTACGATTATACGATAGATGAGATTAAATAAAAAGTATAAATTTGTATATTTATATGTATATCTGTTCGTTATTTGCGAATATAAAAACATTAGATGTGTGTGTGAAAACGGATATTATTTATTACTTTTTAATAATAAGACAGACATCAGTGAAGTATTTAATCTTATATACATTTGCATAGTCATTCATATTAACATATTGAGCTTATCAACATCTATTTATCATAAAGCAAAACAACAATTATGACACAGTGGTAAAATATGTATATATGACGTATTCCATGTATCAAGAGTCTGCCTAAAAAAAGAGAAATTATATTCTCTTTTAAAAATCTAAAATAATTCTCAAAAATATTCTAATATGTGTAGATTATAATACTAAAAAGGAAATTTTGGAATCGAAATTTTAATTTTTTGAAAAAAATATTTATTTACTAGTGGATCATTACAATTCCAATTTCCCTTATGATACCATATTCCATAGAGTATTTTTGATAATTTTTTCAGATTTTTAAAAGTAGATATAATTTTTCATTTTTAGGTACTTAAAAATAAAAATTTTTCTCACTAAAATTAATTTTTTTAT